TGTTTTGGCGTCGACATAATCCTCGCGCGAAACTGTCTTAAAAAAACAGTAAAAACGGTGAAAAACGCTGGCAGAGAATGAGTTAACGTGCCTAATGAAGACAAATTATTTATAGGTTCATTTCAAGGAGTGTAAAGTTTAGTACTCATATCTGTACTTACATCAGCAAGTACTCAGATATAAGTACTTGTACTTGGTTTGAAAGTGTGGTATCAGTATGTTCCTACTGATTTCTGTGACTCGTGTTCCAGAGAGGCTGAGAATCCTAGACGGTTCGTGTAAAAACACACAAGTGTTTCTTTGCGGGTTTGGGTCAGCGGTGATTTCCTCTGCAGCCCTGAACACAACACAGCCGCTTCAGCGGGAATCTATAAAAGTTTATTAGAATTTATGAGCTTTAATAACAAAAGTGATGACTCGCCGTCGGAGATAAACAGGAAGCGTTTGGAAAAACAAGTCATTCACTTACCAGCTGAGTGTCAAGCTGACCAGCTGATTGAAGTTATGCCCTACAAACATGAGCTGACTAATTTGCTGCCATGACACACAAAAAGTAACGGTATCTGAGAGAGGATGGGCCGCCGTGCTGCCAGCAGGATGAGACGTCCAAGGATAGATAAAAGGAAGGACACACTTCGTGAGTTCTGAGAACACACACACGATAAAAGTGTGACACATACTGGCAAGAAACGGTGTCGGTGCAGGATCGGCTCGGGGTCCTTCGACTGCCGATGACGTCCAAGTGGTTGACTGGCTGAACAAGAAGCTTATGGAAGTGACGTTATCACGTTATGATTTTGATTGGTCAGAACAAATTTGCGGTCGTAGTCTTAGCGGTTGTAGTCCTGTAGTCCAAAAATCAACACTTATCGGAGAAAATATGTTAGAATTTCTAAAGGAAATGTCAAATATAAGCAAATGATAAACGGTGACCCTCAAAAACTCTTGATGTTGATGAAACGGGGCAAAATAAAATATAAGAACTTTACTGAAAGACACCAAGCAATATTTAGAGTCAAAGAACGTATTTAGATACCAACTAAGGAAATATACAGACGAACTCCACATTAATACAAACAGACGTGGCTTCACATATAAGAACTGTTCTATTTTGTGTCAGTCTGATGTTGGTTTTATGCAGTTTCACATTCTTTACTAAACAAAGATAATATGGTGTTTTATTAACAAATTACAATTATAAAGAAAACAAAACTGCTGGTGTCTTTCCAAACCGTGTGTGTGAAAGCCGAGTAGATTTGCAGTCATGTGACGTCATCGGCAGTCGAAGGACCCCGAGCCGATCCTGCACCGACACCGGTGCACGTGCCTTGTGCTGCCATAAGCACCTCATACCACAAAATCACACACACACACACACACGACTGCCATTGATGTTCAACGTCATCATTTCTGAGCTCTTCCTCATGGCCACATATGGTATTTCACTTGCTGGCCTTCGCCACTTCTCCACTAACTCCATTTTCCCTGCATGGATGCTTCTACGGAGGGGGGCTCACAGATTATCCGTAGCCAAATAAAACACGATCAGATGTTCAAACAGCTCATCGTGTGGCATCTTACCCACCAGCACCAGGCGGAGATTTTTTTATCGTACTCCTGCATGTTCCCAAGGATTAAACTAATATTATAGTCGTCAAATTACATGAAATCCAAATTAAACATACAAATGTTATAACAGTTGCTTTTGCTAGTTTCAGTAAATCTAATATTAGTTTGCAGTAACACTTTGGACTTTCTAGATATGTGACAAGTTATTTCATGGTCTGGATTGAGTGGAGGAACTAACAAACGGTCTCAGCTGTGACGTGAACCAAATGTTCTCCGTCCAAATGAAATTAATCCAACTAGGGAATCCACTGAAGCCGCTGACTGAACTCAGACACAGGGAAGAGCCTGGAAATAGAGCACGAGGTGACAAAGGTGGGACATTTATCACAGCTCGCTGAATAAATGCTTCACTACATTTTATCTTATTATCTTGTTGTCCTAACGACATTTACCATTAGAATAAATAATCACATACATACAAGAGTATCAGAGTGATGTAAATAATATATACCATTTTAGTTTGATTTTGTGGTTTAGAAAAATCAAAAGGAGCCTTGTTATGAGCTAACAAGATATCTAAGATAAGTACACAGACCAGAAGAAAGAACTCGTGCTTTACTAGCTTGTACCCAATAAAAGAACTAAAAAAGGCTAATTGTTATTATTACTTTAAAGGGACATTATGGAAGTGTGACAGCCAAAACATGTATAGAAATAATAAATGTCTTCTTCATACGTTCTCCTGCAATGCCCTGGTCCTGTAGAATGAGCCCTGGCATTTTTACTGTGATTGCCTGTTTTTCTGTAAAATCACAGAAAAAGAGAGATGCTCGGGTCGAGCAGGCTGCTTCATGCGCGTTCACGCTCAGGCATCGCCCGTAGCATTTGCTATCCGTAGCTTTAGCAGCAGAGAGAGAGGCAGTGCCACTTTGTCGCTGTTCCTAACGCCTAGTGACAAAGCTAGCTACATTTCTGAGGACCCTTAGCTACTTTCTGTAGAACTTTCTTCTAGATATTTCCTGCTAATTAGCAACAAAATAGCCATTTTCACTCCGAACCGTTCTTTGTTTCAGCTGTCATCAAGGATATAAATGTTACAGATACAGAGAATGTCACTGGTGTGTAGCCCACCTAGTAAGATGTCTGACTCCCATGTAGAAGACCTGGGTGCGATTCTGGATGTGAACATAGTTTATTTAGAGTTTCTTTTTTACATTAATGGTATATTTTTTACAGTAAGATGCCAAAATTTTTATTTGAGACTCGCTGAACGGCATTGAATTCACAGATAAAAAAGATGTGGGTTCAACTTTCATTTTGGAACAATTTTTCAAGCAAGGGAAGGGAATGATCTGAGCATGCAGGAGGACTGACCCATCATAAACCTTTGTCGCTGTGCTGAAGAGAAAGCTACAGAACCACATTATTTAATTAATTAGCTGCCACGTTCTCCTGTCCTCTGTCCTCCGAGCACACACACACACACACACACACACACACACACACACACACACACACACACACACACACACACACACACACACACACAACTGTCTCAGCTGTTATTTTCGTTAAGAAGTGTGCACGTACAGCATGCGCGCCTCGTGCACGAGCCTACTATTGAAGCTGCCGTTACGCTTTTGGCCTGAGGGGGCAGTCGCGAGCATAAAAATTCAAAAGTCCGTCCCTTTAAGGAAGCGCAACATCATTGAATGCACATTTGTGGTTGGAGTGCACAGTAAACTGTAAAAGATGTAAAACGGTGAACGTTCAGATGTTTTTGATTACCAAGACTAGAATTATTCTGAAAGGTTAGCTCCCAACTCGCACAGGAAACAGTTTTCCCTATGAACTACACCTGACCAGCTGTGGCACTCCCTGATTTCCTCAAAAACTAACTTTTGAATAGAAGTGGGGGGTAAACAACCAGAGGAAAACAGCTCTGATGACGAAAATACAATAGCATGGGAAGCCTCTGGTGGGTAATGGGTTTGCGTTTTGAATAAATCTAACTCAAGTGGCAGTTTAAAAAGACCCCAGATGATCCCTGGGAAATGTTAAACACTGAAAAGAAAAATGCATCATCCTTCAGATAGATCATAAGGGAAATACAGTGCATCGTTCTATTTTAAAACACACTCCTTCTCCCACCATAGGCCAACTTTTAATCGTAACATTTCATTTTAGCATAAATTTTGCCTCCAACTGCAACTTGAACATGAAGCTATTGTATTTTTATCAAATGTCACTAAATTAGATCCTGATTTCTAAAGTCAGACATCTGCTTGGGTTTCAGCTTTTGATGAGTTGACTTCATGGGATTAATAATGTTATTTGATTGCTTAGACCGATGACAGACAGACAGACAGACAGACAGATAGATAGATACTAGGGATGTAAGAAAATATCGATATGGCAATATATCGTGATATTTTTTCTAGCAATATTATATCAATATTCAAAAGCCGTGTATCGGAAATATCGATATGGCAATATATCGTGATATTTTTTCCTGCGATTATTACATTGATATTCAAAAGCCGAGCATCTAATTTTTGAAAGAATTTACATGCAAACTTTTGTGTATTTTCTTTTCGTTTTGTACAATTCAATCGCCACCCGCTAGTTGGCAGCAGTGTGCAACGGGTTTTGTTTCCACCATTGAAATGTAAAACCCTCCATCCTGGTTCAGATACCTCATGTTAAACATGTTGCGTATCAGTTTGGACTGTTTAATGAACATTCTTACAATAAACTCAGTAAAAAAAATTGCTTGTAACATCTGAATGAATGTATCGCAATATATCGTGATATGTATCGTATCGCCAGAATTTCAAAAATACACATCCCTGATAGATACTGTGTCTACAATCAGCAACAGCTGCCAGTCACAATGGGGTGTCAGGCTGCTGCTGGTATTCACACACACACACACACACACACACACACACACACACACACACACACACACACACACACACACACACACACACACACACACACACACACACAGCTCACGAATCAATACCGTTTCTCTCCCTCCCCTTCACAACAACAACAACAACAACAACAAGGCTACATGCAGGAACACTCGGGTCCTGAGATCGTCCCGTTGCTCGGTGTGGATTTAATATTCGTGGCAGCAGAGAGAGAACAGCATCACATCCTGGCCTGTCTGAACAAGTCTCCACTGCTCAGTGTGAGGATTTCAACTAACTACACAGCCTGGGCCGTGCAACTGCTAATGTCCATCATGTGTTTTTGCCAAACGGGTCCCGGGATTAAATATTCCAAGTAAACAAAGGGAATTACACACAGATTCCGGGTAATATCCAGAGAAATATAGAAACTACGTATAACGAGAGTAGATCCCGGGAGCCCATCCTGCTCTGATCGGCACTGTCCCCGCATCCTCCCAGCTGTCCACTCACCGATACGAGGTCTGCTTCCTGAACGCCAGTCCCCTTAATTTCTCCTCCAGGGACTCCTGCTCCATGTCGGGTAAGCTGCTGAACGTGTCGCTGCAACCCATGGCTGCCTCTTCCGAGCCCGCTCCGGACTCCGAGTCGCCCCCGTCAGCTCCGAGAGAGGCCGGGCGGATGCCGAAGTCCCCCGCCGCCGCCGCCGCCCCCGGGCTAGTGCGGTCCGTTGCTTGGGGGTCCATGCTGGTCGGTCCTCGCAGTCTCGCCCCGCGCTGGACCCCCGCCTCTCTCTCTGCCCCGGCTCGTGATGGGACACGGATGCCGGTGGTGTTCGGATGACAAGAACCGAACCGTCTACGCGACGTCTACGTTTTGCTGCTGGACTGTTCGGCTCGCTCTGTGGCGGCTGAACGCTTATATACGCCGCAGCAACGTACAGCGGCACGCGCAGAACAGCTCTCACGCGCTCCTGGACCAAGTGGCAGCTGCGTACGTCAAGTTAAAAACGTAAAACAGGAAATGATGCTTTGTACTTTCAGAATAAAATACAGGCTTTGTGAATTTATTTGCCGACCTGATGAACCAGAATTTCTCCATGGCAAAAAGTCTATTTTAATACTACTTTTAACAAACATATTAGTACATTGGATTTTATTATTATTTGAGGGAGTTCAAAATAATCTCGGGATAGCTCTTGTGCTAGCAATTCACAGTTCACAAACGGAGATTTTATATTAAATAAACAATACTTAATACATTTGATTTATGTTATAAAAAGGGTGGACTTTATTTAACTGGAATGAAGTAAACAAACTTTTAAAATATATTAAATAGATAATAAATTACTGAATTTTGACTTTGTGTCAAAATATCTGTGTGCACATTTCTTTAATATAGTTTCCCCTTAATTGTTATGAGAGAAAATATCTCAGAAGACTTATTTTGTTGCACATTTTAGCTTTTAAATATAAATGTTTCATAAAGATTGATTTCCCATGGCAAAGACAATGAACAACGGGCAATAAAAGCTTATCTAAATATAAAATTGACTCTAAAATCTATTCAATTTTACACACAGTAATATATCTGAATATTTTACAGCAATAATTATTGTTTTGCCTTGAGGCCATGACATTTTCAGATTTTCCTTAATGTACTAAACATATGATCAACAGTAGCTACCAACATAAATATTCACTACATTTAGATGACTTTCAAGACTACATTTTATTGTAGCTGATGGACAAGCTCCTGTTCAGTACGTGTATGATAATGCCAACAACTACGAAAACAGAACAGTTTTCTTGAAGAACCTAAATATTTGATTTTGATTCCCTAACCGGAAATGTATTGTTTGACTATTGCTAACATGACACAAGTTTAAAACCAGAAAAGCGCGAGCTGGTGAAGGCCGAGACATAGTGATGGGAATTCCGGCTCTCTTTAGAGAGCAGGCTCTTTCGGCTCCCAAGTGGCTCATCAGATTTTCTGTTGCGTAGAGCACATTTATAACCAAAATAATGCAAAACTATATGTAAAATTATTTACTAATGTAAAAAAATGTAATATATAAAATATTTATAATTTCAATGGATTTAATAACTGAACACTTTAAAAAATCTACACTTTCCGACTGCTGGCACTCATTTTCTCACCGTCTCCTCTCTCGCTCGCCTTCTTCCTCCTCCTCATTCCCTCTCGTCTCCCTCTGCCCGCATGTGCTCTGCTGTGTGTCTGAGTCTGATCCTCCCTCTTCCCCGCCCCTACTGCTCTGTGTGTGGACAGTCTGGACACACAGTTACACATGTTGACCAATCGCCTGTAGCTTTCACCAAAGCAAGAGGGGAGGGGGGAGGGGAGGGGATGGCTCCCAATGACGAGCCGGCTCCCGTTGTTCACTTCAAAGAGCCGGCTCTTAGAGCCGGTTCGTTCGCAACCGACACATCACTATTCGACAAGGGCATGCTCATTTATGACTAAATCCAGCCTCCATCTATCGTCATGCTCATCCATCCACCTACCCATCCATCCACTCATCCATCCATCCATCCATCCATCCATCCACTCATCCATCCATCCATCCATCCATCCATCCATCCATCCATCCACTCATCCATCCATCCACTCATCCATCCATCCACTCATCCATCCATCCATCCATCCATCCATCCACTCATCCATCCATCCATCCATCCATCCATCCACTCATCCATCCATCCATCCATCCATCCACTCATCCATCCATCCATCCACTCATCCATCCATCCACTCATCCATCCATCCATCCATCCACTCATCCATCCACTCATCCATCCATCCATCCATCCATCCTTGATCCATCCATCCATCCATCCACTCATCCATCCATCCATCCATCCATCCATCCATCCATCCATCCACCCATCTCAGGGGACAGGCAGTGTGGCATTATGGGATATTCCCTCTCCTCGTTTTTGCAGCATCATCAGTCAGAAAGTAGGGCAGAGAGTGCGCAATCTCCCAGAACACATGTCAGTAACACCCACACTGAATAAATGTCCCTATCTGCCATCATGGTAACACTTCTCCCTCCTCCACCACATCCTCCTTATCTTAACATTTTTGTTGTACTCAGCTACATCAGTCGGGGTCTTTTTTTCCCCTCTCTACGGGTTTTTCTGTATCACCATAGCTTCCTGAACAGCATCTGTTTGAAGAAATAGCATAACAACCCCAGTGTACCAAATGTATGGCAGTATATGTGTAAAGGAACGTTTTCTGTTGCGCTAAATCCTGAGATGCCAGATTGATCGTCACTGCTCACAACTCAGAGTGTTGGCCAGAAAACTCTAAGGCCAGGCTGTAGCTCAGATTCTCATGAGGTGAGGCAAAGAGAAGAAAGAAAGATAAAATGCAGGTCTCATTCAACTCCATATTCCAGCAGAACAGATGGAGAACATCAGCTTACATCTGAAGCAAACACAAGGCTTATCTTCTAAGTAAGTATGGTGTGTGAGTGTGGTTTCTTGTAAATAATAACAAATGTAGGTATTAATTGTCCTTTGGGCCAGATTGACAATCACACCATAACATAAACACACATCCAAGTTGAACATAACATATTACACCACGGGTTAAAAGGGACATGTTATGTAAAATTCACTTTATACATCCTTTGTTCTGCCATGTGGGTCTGTGCTGCCTCTGTAAACACTCCAAACGCATAGAAAAGCAGATATGACAAAAGTGTGCCTAAAAGAGCTGCCTCAAAATGTCCCTTATTGTGACATCACAAAAAGGGAAACTAACAAAGAACCTCACTTACCTGTCAATGCTGACAGGCAGCGGCTCTAATTCGAGCCTCTCCTGGACATCCAAGCTCTTCTCCACATAGCAGCTGATCATTGGGTGGCTGGAAAAGGCCAGCAATAGCTTGTTTTCCCAAAGTGACTGAGTCCTGAAACAGCTCACTGAAACCGCTCCCCCCCCCCTGCCCCCCCCGCCTTCGGATTGGTGGACTTCAGCCTGGGGAGGTCATCAACCTGCAGGAGTCAATGTGCTCTTCACTTCTTTCAAGATCTCCCTCCCACCTGTGACTGTACAGTGGCTGAGCGCCGTAGATGGCAGCTCTCGCTGGGGGAAACAGGACACCCCCCCCCCCCCCCCCCCCGCCGCCTTCTCATTGGAGTCTCATGTTGTGTTGTCTGAAGTCTGTTGCATATCTGTTGAGGTGTTTTTTTGCAGAGCAAAGCTGCCCTCCTGGTGGAGGGTAACTCTGAAGTGCCTTTTTTTCCCTCCACCTGAACCAATCCTCATGTAACCCTCTTATCTCTATTAAGGTAGCGCGACTCGGGTTGCGAATGACCATAGTCACCAATTCTTGTCATGTGTCTTGCCCATGTATGTCCGATCTCTGAATTGTGTGTACTGAAACTCTAATCTGGGATTAATAAAGTATCTTTGATTGATTGATTGATTTTTATATCTTATGTCCCTCTTCAGTTCAGGTGAATGCACAATTAACAGGTACTATTCAGCAGCTCTTTTCTCAGCTTGATGCATACGTGGAAAACTTCATGAAGGTGTTTTCCAGGAAAGGAGGTGTCCTTGGGAAAAAGAGAAAGATGACAAGGGTCCCAGTGACTCAGATATGGCCGAGTCCCAGCAAATGAAAAATGTTTACTCAATGTTCCTGGAGGATTGAATGTAAGTCAAATAGAAATCAGTGGAATCTGATCTTCTTCCTCTTTCTAAATCTTCCTTTAAGATTTGAAAAGGCTGGAATTAGAAAGGTCTGCATGTGAACTCTCCACGAGCAAAAACGTATCAAAAATTCATAAGAAAACTGCAGTAGCTGCGGTGTTTCATCTTCTGTCTGCGTACATTTCTGTCAGCTTTATAGCAGCTTCAACGCTGGAATTTATCAGTGAGAGTTATCGGGAAGCTACGAGGCCGGGAATCGTCTCGGGACTGTCGCAGCAATTCACACTTCTCATTATGAAGCGCTGCTGCTGACCTATTTTTAGATCCTTCTTTGTCATAATAAAAGTAAAAAAAAGGAGACAGAAGCTCCTCTGTCTGATAGCTAACAATAAAACTCCTCTCTGGCTAATAGAGTTAGGCCTTAATGTGATTTAACTTTGCATGAGAAATGCTTTGAAGTTAGTGAAATATGTACTTCCTCCAACCTAAATGAATTCACGTGGTCTGCAGAAATTTTATTTAATTTATATCCACCTGCTCCAATATGTGTGGTTAAATTTTATAGCTGCATAGAAGTTAAGAAGAGTCTAATTATTAGTTGTTTTAGTGACATTCAATTTTTGCTTCAGGATAAAAAACTTCAGCTGTAAATACTTAAATTATAAAAATATATCAGAATGCTTCTGCTGCAGTACAATCACGTTTCATGATGGATTCGCCACCGTGCTCAACAGCTGCGGTTTGCTTCTAGTATGCATCAAGTTCAGTTTTAATTATTAGTTATTTGTGAAAATTATTCAGAAAAATGTCTATGCATCCAAAAAAAAGCTTCTGAAGACAAAAATAATTCAGCCTAACCCATCACACCCAGGGAAACAGCTCTAACATGCAGGATGGAGGCCCCTGTGTTCCAGGACTACACCACCTTAAAACATCTAAATAAACTGGCTTCAAACAACACACCAACAGCTTATTTTTATTCACAGATCTTGGGGGAAGTAAAAAATATATTTTGCACTCATTAAAAATAAATTCTGTCTGAAGTTTTCGTTGTCAAGTAGGAAACAGTCTCGAATTTTACTCTGCAAAAAAGGAAGAACATTCAGTCTTCGATAAAATAATATAAAACCACATAACATGTAATAAAATGACATAAAAATACATTTTACTCAATTAAAGTAACATTTCATGAAGCAATTTAGATACAAATAGAAACAAGTAAAATGCCTGAATAATATTTTCTATTAAACTGACCAAAAACATTGATTGTGTCAAAAGTTTACAAGAGTACGCCGGGACAGAAATATGTAGAAAAGATGTAATGGTGTAAAGAAACGCTGAGCTGTGGTTTAAACCTAAAACACTCACCTGGAAACCGGAGCACCTGGAGAAAACCCACGCAGGCACGAGGAGAACAAGCTAACGCCATGCACAAAGGCTGCAGCTGGGATTGGAACCTGCAACGTTCCTGCTGCGAGGAAACCGTGCTACCAACAGGACCACCGCTGGGCCATTATCAATACACATGATCAATCTGGTAGGGAGATTATCGATACCACAAAAAGCAGTTGGATGTGTTTGTTTACTTTGCAATAAAACTCAGAACAAGTCCATCCCTCCATCCATTTTCTTCCGCTAATCCAGAGTCGGGTCGCGGGGGCAGAAGGCCCGGACTTCCCTCTCCCCAGCCACTTGGGCCAGTACTTCCGCGGGAATCCCTGGCCAGGTGAGAGACATAGTCCCTCCAGCGTGGTCTTCCTTTAGACCTTCTCCCGGTTGGACGTGCTCGGAAAACCTCACCAGGGAGGAGTCCTAATCAAACGCTCAAGGCACCTTAACTTGCAACGGATCTACTCCGTGCACGGAAGTCCAACAACAAAACACCGCTCAAATTCAGATCAGGGGCCATTCCTCCCAACCACACCTCTCCAGGTCAACACGAGTGTTCAGAACGATTATTCTGTGTATTTTTGATTTTATGGTTCGAGTTAGGCTTCATATGAATGATGGTGTTTCAGTTCAATGTGTTTTAATTAATGTCCTCTTAGCCGCTCTAATAAAACTCCTTTATTTTACCTAAACGTTACATTTTTTACAGCCAACCTTAAGGACATTTGTGGGCGACGGTGGCACAGGACTTAAGTGCCCGCCCCGTAATCGGAAGTTTGCAGGTTCGAGTCTGTTGCTGTCGTTGTGTCCTTGGGCAAGACACTTAACCCACGTTGCCTGCTGGTGGTGGTCGGAGGGACCGGTGGCGCCAGTGCTCGGCAGCCTTGCCTCTGTCAGTGCGCCCCAGGGCAGCTGTGGCTACATCGTAGCTCATCACCACCAGTGTGTGAATGTGTGCACTGTAAACCCGAATAAGTTCCCAGAACTCAAAAATTTTGAGGCAATCAATTGCCTAAATTTTTTTTGTTTTGATACTGAAAATTTTAAGTTTTCATAAATAAAATTTCTTAATAAATGTTACTCATACATTTGAAGTTTATTCAATTAAAACTGCTCATCCAATCAACTCAAATTATTTTAGTTACCACACTGTAAACCAAAAAACTCAAAAATTTTGAGATGCAAAACAAAATATTCTACGTCTTTAGAAATTAAATTTATTAATAAATTCTACTCATAAACCTTGAGTTAGATTAAATTAAAATTCGTTATCCATTCAACTCAAAATATTTTTGTTATGGGTGAATGACTGATTGTGTTGTAAAGCGCCTTGGGGGGTTCCAGGACTCTAGAAGGCGCTATATCAAACACAGGCCATTTACATTTGACACTTTTGCTATTAGAGACATTTTCTGGCTTCACAACAAGAAAACTCCCGCTCCTTGAGACGATTTCCAGCTTTCTTTGGGCTTCAGCTACTTGAACTTTTACCATTTTCAGCTTTTTTAAGTTCTTGGGAGGATTATTAATAGTAGAGAAAAGAAGAAACGGAAATCCAGAATTGTGTTCTGAATCAAAATCCAAAGGAGGCTTTTTAAAACAGCTTCAAGGACTCTTATTTTGAAAAAAGCAGCAGGCACAACGATACGCTTTTACTAAGGAAAATACTTTATTCACTTCCAAGGCAAGATGACAAAAGAGATTCAGAGTGTATTTACACAGGAGCAACAGAAATGACATTTAAAAGGAAAATCTTCAGTGATTTTTACACAAATGTCTTTTCTCCAAAGAGCAACCAGGATGTTTGTTGTGTTTCCAAAAACACGGCAGTGAAAACTCTACAGGGTGAGCCTCGGCGCTTCCTGCTGATGCCCAGAAATCTGTAGAATCTGAAATGAAGACTCAGATCTGGTGTTCGGGGCTAAAAACCTCGTTGGGTTTATTCCAGAGCCGATCAGTGACCCGACAGCAGAGTCAGATTGAACCTGAAGGCAGCTCTCGAATCCTCCCTTCATAATTCATCAACAGCCCAAAATAGAGTGATGATAAATTATGGATTATTACTAATCTACACACACCAGATATGTTCATAAATTAATTACCCGCTTTTACAAAAATAGAAGCTTTTCTCTTTTGCTTATGACAGGAATTACTGCTACAAAAACAGGAAGTGAAGGCTGACGGGCAAAAGGAAAGGAGGCAGTTAGCTTAGCTTAGCTTAGCATAAAGACAGGAAACTGTCCGCCTCACCTGGTGCTAATCATATCTCCTCATCTCTTCTAACGCTTCTTTTGTAACCAAAGCAACGTTTTCATTCTCTTGAAGGACACCAAATATCAGAATGACTTCTGGTTTGCACAGAATAAAAATAACCTAAAACAAAAAGCTGCAAAGGAGCTGAAACGTAAAATATCTGTAAAGATTAGGACCTTTTTTTTTTTTTTACATTTGCTGTAAAAAATGAGGAGAAACGAAGACGGCTGCAGACCCACCCAGAAACGTTCATCCAGGGGCAAACTCTCTCACGTCTAACTAAATCTTATTAAGGAAGATTTCAGGTCCTTTTTTAATGGGACTCAAACATTTCAACCTCATGAAACTTTGATAAAGTAAATAAGAACAACATATACAGAGCTCGCTGGCGATTACTTTGCGCCCAATGCGCCAGTAGGCGCCGGAGGAACTAAGTCTAAGTAATATATATATATATATATATATATATATATATATATATGCATACACACATATATATGTATGAATATATACATACATACACACATATATATGTGTATATATATACACATATATATGTGTGTATGTATGTATATATATGTATATATATACATACATATATATATACATATATATATGTATGTATATATATATAAAAACACACACACATATATATGTGTATATATATACACATATATATGTGTGTGTGTATATATATATATATATATATATATATATATACATATATATATATATATATGTATATATATATATACATATATATACATATATATACGTATATATATATATGTGTGTGTGTATATATATATATATATATATATATATATATATATGTATATATATATATACATATATATATATATATATATATATATATATATATATATACATATATATATATATATATATATATATATGTATATATACATATATGTATATATATATGTATATACATATATGTATATATACATATATGTATATATACATATATGTATATATACATATATGTATATATATATATATATATATATATATACATATATGTATATATATATATATATATATATATATATATATATATATATATATATATAAATATATTTACATATACATATAAAGAGTAAAAATAATAAAAATACAACACGAACACAAGCTTGTATCAAAATAGGATGAATGCATGACTGGAATAGAATAAAAAATATTTCATAACACAACCAAGAAAACGTGTCTATAAATACAGACGTGGTCATCAGTGTCCCGTAAAAAGCTAAACATTTAAAATAAATTTCTTTGGAATAAATGCATCACTGCTCTAAACGTCACACTCACGTAGCGCCTCAACAGGAACCACCTGCTGAAGCGATCAGTGCAACTGCGACTCGGAGAAGACAGCCAGTGCCTCTTTCATTCCATCCTTTCTACCTCTACAGTGTATGGGATTGAGCCGCGACGCCGATCTGATGTTGGAGGTTTGCTTCAGGACACTGAACACTCTCCGCAGGAACCTCAGGAGGTCTCGTTGACTGAGCGGTCCAGTTCGATCACTTTATTGCTGCTCTCGTTCACCCTCCACTCCAGAGACCTGAGAACAATCCCGGAAAACACTTCAGCAGGTCTGAAAACTCGGACTTGGATCCACCGGGTCGTGAAACCCAGCAGCTCACCTGTGCAGGTCCAGGAGCAGGTTTTCCTGTGTGTCGTTGCTTTTATTCCTGAAAGGTGGGTGTGTCTCCGCTCTGCTGGACTCCGCCCCCTGTTTCTGTTGCTCCGAGCGACGCCACGCCGCCATGACGACAGCTGGCGTGTCCTCCCACTGGTCGGGATATTCGCCGCCCAGACCAAGGAGGTGTGGCTGCTCATCCTCGAAGGTCGATAACAAACTTCTGGACTTCACTAAAAGGAGAAAAAGCAACAACTTACATTTTACCTTTGTTTATCTTTTGTATTTTCAACACTTTTACATTTAGTTTTACATCAAAAGACACTAAAAATTACTCCTGGACAATAGCACTCGCGTTTGTGAGGACAGGAAGTGACAGGAAACGGGATTTGATCGTTAGGAAAATGATCCTAATTATCAAGGTAAGTTGTGTGTGTGTGTGTGTGTGTGTGTGTGTGTGTGTGTGTGTGTGTGTGTGTGTGTGTGTGTAGGAGGTAATGAGGATGTTACTGAGCTAGAATATGATTAGCAGCACCGGGGGGTTTGGGGGGGGGGGGGGGGGGTGCAGAAGTTTGAGTACAAAAGCACTTTTATTAGATCTAACTTCCTGGTGAATGGGAGCAGGAATCCTCACAGACCGTTCCTCAAGGCAGACTTGGACCTTCTGCTCTTATTGCTGATAATAAAATTAAAGATATTTTCCAATATCTATCCAGGGAATTTAATTTAAAGAGCAAGTCACCCCCTACCAGAGTCTTACTCCACTCCCACTTCCTGTTTGAAAAATGCAACAATTGCTGTTGCCTAGCAGACCGAAAGGGCGGAGCCTCCAACAAATACACACACACACAGGCTCACAACGACATTGGCCGTGTTCGAGTTGAGCTGCACCTCGCCTGGAAACCAGACGAGAGCAGACGGAAGCAGCAGGGGGAGGGGCTGAAAGTCTGCGTTTAAGTCGGACAGATTTCCCTGCATGTGTAGCTCGCGGGTGACGATGGCTGAAGATATCGCGTTAGCATTCACACTTGTTTAATTTTCAGTTTTAATTCTGGTGCCTGTTAGCAGCTGAAACACATCCTCATGTGCTTGTGGATATCATATATTGTATATGAAGACATGACTGTAATAATAAGTAAAGGTTATCAGCTGTAGGTTTACAGTGATCCCCCGCTACTTCGCGGTTCGTTTATCGCGGATTCACGATTTATTCAAGGGAAATTCGCCGATTCGCGGTATTTTTCTATGCGTTTTCTATGCGTATTCTACTACCCACAAAAACAGAATGTGATCATACGATAATTCAATATAGTACTGTATGTCAGACTGGTCGGCTGGATTCGGGAGTTGAGCTTGTAGGGAGCATGGTTTCGCAGACGCGGAAGTGAGAGCGTTGGTGAAACGCCGGCTGATCTAGGAAACCCCCGAGCGTTCGAGCGTCAACGAAGTGACACGGAAATGCCGGGCTTTCCAGAAGTAAGTAAGATAACTTACTATGAGCTGATAGTTCGTGGGATTGATCGGTAGGTTGGAAACTCTGATCATGAATCTGAAGAAACGATGACTGAGTGGTGAGCTGGAAAGGCGACTTCCGTTTATAGCCGCGGTTTGTGACGTAGGTGCAACGTGGAGGGATTCCCCGCGAGGGGCATGCTGGGAGTTGTGGTCCATAGTGGAGGCCAGCTAGCTGGAAGAGGCTGGCCTGGGAACTTGGGTTCTGACACTGTACTGTAAATATGGTGTCCCTACTTCGCGGATTTTCACCTATCGCGGCCAGGTCTGGAACGCATCTACCGCGATAAACGAGGGATCACTGTAGTGTGCTCATAGGAAACGTGACAAAAGAACACAAATCACATTTCTCTTTATGACCTATATAGTTGTCATCATCAACGTAACATGATTTCATGTTCTACCACCGGATGTTTGGATCAAAATATGAACCAATCAGATCTTAAATCGGGTGAGAGCCAGGCGTTTCCCTTCATCCTCTAGGTTTTGCAGCCGGTAGAGAGCAACTGCAGTGCCTTGCTCCAAAATCTGCGGCCGCCTTGATCTCACGAGGTTATCGTTGCCTACGTATGCATGACGTCAGAGCAAGTCGGCGTCAAGTCGGACACAAATCTAACCGACATGCACTGCTCGCCGATCACCGCTGGTCTAATCTGCACAGATCTGGCTCATCTCGAACGCAGACATTGTGACATCATATGGTACCAGCTGACGTTCTAGGGTACCTCTTAGCCAATAGCGATGGCAGATTTAAATTCAAATGCAGTGCAGAGTTTTACCTGACAACAACACTGACAGTTTTAGGCAGAATATTAAATTTTAACTAAAATGCACTAAAGTGCAAAACCATTGACTACACGTGTCTGCAGCACGATTAGACACACGTTTATATAGTTTATCAGGGAAAATAGTTGATTTGGAGGTGACTTGCTCTTTAACTTCTGTTATTATTTACAGATTATTTAAAAAAAACTAATACTTTGTTGTCTTCAACAGAAATTTGAGAATTTAACTGATGAAATATATATTTTTTCATTTGAAAAATTCTCATGTTGGTGGCCTGTGAGGATTTCCAGCTTAATCTTTTTCTAATTTTAGCTCCAGCATCATTTCTGATAAATGTCATCAGAAAAAGGGTTTTACGTGTCAGAAAGCTCCTAACTGATGGTATGAGCTACCTGTAGCTGTGTAGGACTCTTTCACAGACATCTGACTGGACGAGACGCCCGTTTCAGCGACACTTGAACACGGAGACAAGCCGCTCGGGTAAAAGCTCCCCAGAAACAGAGCGAAACACAGAACCACCACCTACAAACAGGAAGGAAGAGGAGGGCGGGCGGACACGGAGAGGACAAATAAATGATCAGTCACAAAAAACAGCTAACGAGTGATGGAAGCAGATGTTTCTAATTTAATAACCCAGAAACACACGAGTACCATTAGGCACGATGACGTCTGGGTGCCGGCGACCCGGCAAGACCTGTGGACTTTTCCTGCCACCAACGCCTGCAGCGACTGCAGCTGCTGCAGCAGAGACCTGCAAGCACACACACACACACACACACACACACACACACACACACACACACACACACACACACACAAGTGCATGTTCATTTTTTACTCTACATTAGAAAAAGGTACGGTGGCCCAGGAGGTTCAATGAAAATACAAATGCAACAAAGCAACACCCAGAGCAGAGCTAAAAATAAAAGTGAAGTAATAATAAATAAATAAAAAGCCTAAAACAGAAGCTGTGGTCTGCTGAACGTTTCACTAAAACTGAGACCATGTGGGATTTTTCTGAGTTTCAAACGCTGTTGTTGCTCATTTATTTACTTTTTGGTATAATTACACCGCTAGCATAACTTCTGCTTTAGCGTAAGTTCCAACTGACCGCAACTTCTGGTTTATTAGTAATTCTACCTTTTATTGAGCCTACTGGGCCACCGTAGAAATATACTGGTTCCATATATGTGATTAATTACTTAAAGAGCAAGTCACCCCCTGCCAGATTCTTACTCAACTCCCACTTCCTGTTTGAAAAATGCAACAAATGCTGTTGTCTAGTAGACCAAGAGGGCGGAGCCTCTGACAAATACACACACTCATGACATTGTGACATCATAATGTACCGTCTAACATCATAGTGTACCTCTTAGCCAATAGTGATGGCAGAGTTAAATTCAAAGTCAGTGCTGAGTTTTTACCTGACGACGGTGCATCGCTGACAGTTTTAGGCAGAATATTTAAATTTTAACTAAGATGTACTAAAGTGCCGAGTTATTGACTACACTTGTCTACAGCACAATTGGACACTCATTTATTAAGTTTATCAGCAAAAAAATACGGTGATTTGGAGTGACTTGCTCTTTAAAGGACCGATTTATTTTATTTGTAAAATATAAATCTGAAACGACCCCTTTGAGCTTCAGTTATCAGGCTCAGAATAACCTGAGCTTTACTTTATTTTAATCTAGGATTAATATGAGGAAATTATAATTAATTGACGTAATGTTCCGTTTGATTATCTGGCCGTGTGTTCGTGATGCATCACCACATAACTGCACCTAAATAACCACCATACTGATCCAGAACTTGTTTTCATGCTTTTTCTCTGCAGGAGTTGACAATTTTTGTCGGAAGTTTATTATTTTTTCTGCTCTTTAAAGCCGAATATTTTTACTTAAACACTGTGGGAAAATGACTGAATGTACATAAAGAAATTTATGTTTTAAAAACATTATCCATATAATGTATTTAAAATATAAATGATGCATAAAGTTTTGTAATTAGGCCCTCTCTCATCTCTGATGCGATCCTGGAGTTGAGTTTTGTTCGCCATCAGCTGTTTTATTTGTCCATCTTTAGAAAGACAGCGAGGCTCTCACGGCCACGCTGCCCAGGCGTGGCAGCACAAAAACAAAAATGGCACCATTCATCTCCTCAGCAGCCCACTTCAACCACGACCTGCAACGGCTGCCCGAGTCTTGCTTGACCCCGGGCGCTCTTGCTCTGAGGAGCAGAAACACCACCTGACGCAGCTCCGGCATTTCGAAATGGACTCCTGATCATGGATGATGAGTGAATCCAAAAGGAGCTTCTGAGGTAGATTTATTCTCTAATCGTTAAGCTGAGCTCATGTTTCCAAACCTTCCCAAGCATCTCCAGGAGGAGATGTTCAGCATCCCTCCCTCACCCTTGACCTCTAACTTCTGTTTTAACTTCTGGGCGCTGCTCCTGGATACGTTTCCTCTCCTCTCCTGGGTGAGAGGAGGGGGGTGAATGGAAGGAAGGAAGGAAGGAAGGAAGGATGAGTATTTTAAGTGTTCTTACTTGTTAGTGCACTCCAGAGTCTCCACTTTCCTGCGAAGCTCGTGGTTTTCATTGGAGCACGTCTCCACCCTGTGGTCAAACAGCAGAGCTGCAGCTTAGTGACTGCTGGTGCTGCCTGATTTATTTATTACACTTACTAAACTTGACTTACGATGACCTGATAGCAGGTAAATCACCAGCGGGACACGACTTCTTCATATATTTGTAGGAATGCACAGATACCGATAGTGGTATCGGTAAAAGTTAACCGATACCACTATCGGTAAAAGTTAACCGATAGTGGTATCGGTTAACTTTTACCGATAGTGGTATCGGTTAACTTTTACCGATAGTGGTATCGGTAAAAGTTAACCGATACCACTATCGGTAAAAGTTAACCGATAGTGGTATCGGTTAACTTTTACCGATAGTGGTATCGGTTAACTTTTACCGATAGTGGTATCGGTAAAAGTTAACCGATACCACTATCGGTAAAAGTTAACCGATACCACTATCGGTAAAAGTTAACCGATAGTGGTATCGGTTAACTTTTACCGATAGTGGTATCGGTTAACTTTTACCGATAGTGGTATCGGTAAAAGTTAACCGATACCACTATCGGTAAAAGTTAACCGATACCACTATCGGTAAAAGTTAACCGATAGTGGTATCGGTTAACTTTTACCGATAGTGGTATCGGTTAACTTTTACCGATAGTGGTATCGGTTAACTTTTACCGATAGTGGTATCGGTAAAAGTTAACCGATACCAGTGCAGTTGCTTGAAAATGGCTTCACTGTAACTTGTTATTTCTGTTAAACTAATATTTTAGTTTTGTGATGATTTCCATTCATATATTTTACTTTTTATCTTCCTCACAGCAGAGAAGAAAATAAAATCTGTATTCCAAGTCATTGCATTGTTTTTGTGTAGTAGAAGTATCGGTATCGGTAATCGGTATCGGCGAGTACTCAGATCCAAGTATCGGTATCGTATCGGTTTGCATCCCTATGCATTTGTGGTTTATCCGATACCAACATGCAGTTTGGGTGTTTTTTTTCCTGCACAGCTCAGTAAAACCCTGAAGGTTACTTAAAGGTTTAATCGTACAGGAAATAAACGCCTTGAAAGACAGATCTGTCAGGCTCTTCCAATCCTAGAGTTTCATTGTCTATTTTCTATCAGAATCTAATGCAGGAGATAGGTGTAGGAGACTACTTTCATGTTCAGCCCGCATGAAAAACTCAAGAGTGACCCGTTGGAATCAGAAATGATCTTCCACAACTTTAAGGTTTAATCAAATTTTAAAGAAAAACAAAACCAAAACCTCCAGTTTGTGGTTTCAACTTTTCCTTTTGATGCTTTAATTTCTGTCAATGAAAAAGAGAAGCGTGGACCTACTTTTTCTCCAGAGCGTCCATGTACTCCTTCTTTTTCCTGCGACTCTCTTGAGCCGAAATCTGAGAGGGAATCACAAAAAAATTTCAAAATAAGAGTCTGCAATGTAAATAAACACTTCCTACAAACCTTTCAGAATCAGATAAACATCGCTGTGTACCACCTACTGAAACGAATGTTCACACAATACAGAATTTTTCTAAACTGAAACCTGTGTAAATCGGATTTAAGCGGAATATTAACCATTTGGTTCCCACCTTGTTTTTGATCTTCCTCCGGATCTTCTTCAGCGCCTTCTCCTCGGCTTTGGTGAGCGGCAGTTTGGTGGGAACGGGGTAACCTTCGGCCACCAGCGTCCGACGCTCCTCCTCGGTCAGGATCAGAGGACCAGATCCCTGCAGTTTCTGCAGAAGAAGATAAATTCTATAACTTATGGATTTACACTCGAGGAGAATATTTCTTATGTATTTCCATATTTACTGTATCAAGAAAATGCCCCAAAAAATTACAAATATTATACTTTTATTGCCCAAAACAGATTTATTTTACCATTCTGGGAGGGTTTCTCACTTGGAAATGAACAAATTGAACAACAAAATGTTTAAATGTAATCAAAGTTTTAGTGTCTTAAAGAAGAATGTTTGTTTTTACTCTTGAATGTGACGGCCACTAAAAATATAACTGAAATCTATGGTATCAGTGGCGTGTCCAGATCTTTTAAAATGGGGTGGCCCAGATGAGGCACAACTTTGTGCATGGGTGGCACCGATGGTTGTGCTTTTTTTTTTTACCCACAAGTCTTTTGTGGACAATGAGAAGCCTATTTAAAGGTAAATTAGTGTGGTGGCACCTGGGATGGCCAATCAGATTCCAAGGGTGGCACGCGCTACCCCAGGTCACTCCCTGGACACGCCCCTGTATGGTATTTAGTTTGTTTGGTGTAAAATGATCTGCCATTACTCAGAAATGTGAGCAAAAAGGATTAAAATTCCATAAAAAAGGTTGCCTAATTTAAAGGTCGACTTCAGATTTCCATTATTCTCCAGGGGCGCCTCCAGAAAGTTTTGATAGGGGTGGCCGGATGGGGTCAAACACATTTTTGGGGTGGCACAGCAAATCAAACCTTGTGGTAACTCTGGGAGTTTAGCCTGTGGCGATGTGCTGCATTGCTGCTTTATTCATATTTGGGGCAGCAGTAGCTCATCAGGTTGAGCGGGTTGTACAGTAATTGGAAGGTTGCGGGTTCGATCCCGGCTCCAGACAGAGAATTCTGCTGTTGTGTCCTTGGGCAAGACACTTAACCCACCTTGCCTGCTGGTGGTGGTCGGAGGGACCGGTGGCGCCTGTGCTCGGCAGCCTCGCCTCTGTCAGTGCGCCCCAGGGCAGCTGTGGCTACATCGTAGCTCATCCCCACCAGTGTGTGAATGTGTGTGTGAATGGATGAATGATGCACTGTGGTGTAAAGCGCTTTGGAGTCCTTACTCTGAGAGGCGCTACACAAGTGCGGGTCATTTATCATTTATTAAAAAAGCAAGTACGTATCCAAACATTTAACTTATACAAACACAAACATGTCAGAAAAGTACATTTCAGTTATTTAAAATGTTATTCCAAATTTTATTTACAATTTTATTTTTTTAGGTTAACTCACCTGTTGCTGTGTTTCCAAAAAATATAGAGATAAAAACTTTTTTCAAATGGTGAGCAGCGCAAAACATATGTAATTATTTATTTATTTAATCTGATTATTTCTTTACTTGTTAATTGTATTATTTTTATTTTGTTCTACAATTATGTCTTGAATAAACAAGATCAATGTATGGTTTGACTGAACATGAATATGATTTATTAAAACTGACTTTTTCCTGGGGGGGGGGGTCAGCACTTTTCTAGTGTTGGCCGTGGCCACCCCTGGCCACCCCTTGGGGGCGCCCTTGGTATTCTCATGAAAAGATTTAAAACTGCAAATTTTTTGTTCGGGTTTTTGTTGATGACGCTGTAACGACAGACGGCTTACATGAGGAGCGGTGAGCAGAGGGGAGTTGGACAGGGAGGACGCAGCTCGAGGAGACACTTTGGCGCTGGTCTGGGATGGAGGGGGGCTGGAGGGGCAGGACAGAGTGGATGTGGCGTGGACGGGGCTCTGGCTGCCCTCGGAGTCGCTGCCATGGGAACTGGGAGGAGTGGGAGGCATCTGCAGAGAGTCCAGACCTGAAACAGCACAGTGGATGATTAGATCAAACACATTTATCTGAATATGAAAAACAAAAAAAAACACTTTAAGGTTTTTATTTATTGAAACATTTCTAAGGATGAAATTTTGGATTATTTAAAAGAATAAAGTTTTTTTCAGATGAAGATTTTAAGAAAATTTAATAAAATGTGCTTTTCTGTTAAAAAACCAGCACATGGCCAGCAGGGGTCCTCGTACAACAGGAAAAGGCTGAATTCAGACCTTTGGGGGAAAGATTGAGGAACTGGTCCACTTCATGAGGCTCCAGCTTAATCTGAGGGATTATATTCTCCTCTTTAATCTGAAAACACAAAAGTTACACATCGTTGAGAATCAACTAGACATACAGACTCCATCCTGCTTCTCGGCGTCTCCCACCTTAATAGTTTTGACCTGGTTGTTGCTGCCGGTCACCGTCTGAGCTGCGGGAGCCACAGCGGGGCCCTTTGCCTCCTGGGGCCCCTCGCAGGAGGACACAGAGAGGGAGATTGCAGGGAGCAGAGAGGGAGTCTCGCACAGGAGGCTCTCGATGGCGTCCTCCTGCTCCATGGCCCACTCCGCTGAATCTCCGTCCGACTCTGCTGCAGAACAGGAAGCAGCGACTCTCCTTAGAGGCTTTATTACAGGAAAACTACGTTCTTTTGAGAAGTGAAATCATTCAAATTTCTTCAACCAGGGAGCGTTCATTTTTTGTTCTGCAGGTTTATTTTGGTTTTCCGTCTATTTTTCTATCATGTTGACGACTAACACCAAAATGTGAGCAGACCAAAAGTTCAAACTGAAAAACGAGTCAGAAAGTACTTAAACACCAGATGTTTTATCAGAGCAGAACTGGTAGAAATCTGATGTTGTTCTTTCTTCTGGTTAGTATCTGCGTTTGGGCGGTCAGAAACGGGAAGTTTTGGGTTTCTCTTTCATGCAAAACCGAGTTAACGTCCCACATGTTTACTGGTTTGGATCACGTAACTGCAGAAAGCAGCAGCTGCTCTCCTTTTACAGGCTGTGATAGCCGTCAGTCAAAAGGAATCCACGTGGGACCGAGTCCTGGCGTCCCTTTAGCTCTGCCCATCGAGGGAAACGTGGAATATTTCTACATAGTGATGAAGAAGATGACTACATGAAGGTCCAGTAACAACAGAGATGCAGCATGAAGGAGATGAGCCAGGACTTCATGTTCCGGACCTCTGGTTCTGTTGTGGTGCTGAGGAGCACGGCCTGGGTACGAGGTTTTGATGGTGGTGGTGTGTGTGTGTATGTGTGTGTGGAGTCTCACCTGCGTCACTGCCATGCTCTCCTGTCAGGTGTGACAGCGGCGACTGAGGTCGACTGTCGCCACACAGCGAATAGCTGTGCTCGGCGGTGATGTGCGGGGGGAGAGGGGAGGACGGGGACAGCTCGCTGCCGTCCTCCCCCTCCATGGACTCCACTCCGCACTTCCCCCCAGACAGGAAGGGGTCGCTTAGCAGCTGGCCTAGCAAAGCATCCTGGGAAAGGTCGTCCAGGAGCTCGGAGAAGTGCTGCAGAGAGAGATGAAACGTTTTCAGGATAAAACAGGAGACGGCAAACAGGTGATTACAGAAAACCACACGGCGACGCGTCTCAGACGGCAGGTCTGTAATCATACACACACACACACACACACACACACTCAACCACCCATTCCCCATCCACTAATCACGGTCTCTGTCTCCGTTTGTCTTTGTGAGTCTCAGCGTGGTGATGGTTTCACAGAAAACACACACGTCTCACCCCCATCACCTCTCCTTCAGCTCTAAACATGGTGAGCACAGAGCTCCGCCTCCACCTCCAGGTGTTATGGCTGACACAGAGGCCCGACAGATGTGCTGATAAAGCTTCAGACATCTGGAACATTTGAATTTATACAAGATACAAAGTTTTTACTAAATTCTTGCAAATATTATTATCACTATCATTATTAATCAATAAATATAATTTGACATTTTACATAATTTTTTTTTTTTAGTAGAGCTCAGCAATCTAAATCCGATTTTCCTTTCAAGGAAAACAACAACGCAAGCTGGAGAATTGTGTCTGTCACACTTTTCATGATTTAAAACATAACGTGTGTGTTTTGTTGCCTTGATCTTGTTTTTTGGATCTAAATGAAGAAAATATCTGAGCAAAAACTTTCTGTAAATTAGGAATTAACGATGAAAGCAAAACACGGAGCTTTGGAGGGTTTTAAAAACAAAGTGCTGAAATCAGGAGGAGAACCGGGCACGGTCCAGTAAACACCCAAAGCCACCCCGTCATTTCACGTGTGGCTGGGATTCGGGACGGGACGTCGGCTGGGCGTGGCTCACCACACGCCCAACAGAAACCGCTTTGTCCCTGCAGCCCGTGTTTGGGCCCGGCTGTAACCCGACACCGTCCAGCTGGGACACAGAGCCAACCAAGGCCCCTTCCCGAGCAGCGGAGGAGATAAAGGAGCCACTCTGGAGGTTTTCCCTGGACAAAATCCTGCCGCAGCGCCGAGACGGCGCAGGACACCGCTGACAGACAAGATTATAATCCTAACTGTAGATGGAGAGCAGACAGATTATCACTCCAGCTCAGTCTTCCAGGGACTTGGTGGTACTTTAAATACGTCCGATCTTAATCCAATCAGAGATGAAGATGCCAAACTGGGTCAGACGAGTCATGAAAACAAAGCATGGCACTTTATGCTGACGGGTCGGATTTCACACTAAACCAGTTTAATCTCACACTTCCATCCTGGAGCTTGTCTGTGGTTCTGGAGCTACTCCGGATTCTGGGCTCCTGAGTTTACAGATCAATACTAAATACTGTCAGGTTGTAAAAGTGAAAATAAGACAAAAACATATTAAATCTGCAGAATATCATCTGAATATAATCTCCTTATTGAGGTTTTAATCTTAACCCCACTAATGAACATCCTACTTTGTTTTCCCGCACGAACCTCATTAAGTTCTCTCATTAGTCCGGTCTGAATATCTCCTTTTCTTTATTATGACCTAACTGTCTTTGAAACTTCTCTTTTTGGACGTTTTTGCTCTAAGAATCCATTCATCTATTGATCGGAACACGTTTATCTTCACTTTATTGGTTGTTTCTCAGGATTTTAGCTACTTTATTTCCTGTGCAACGAAATCTGATGTAAAAATCTCACCAGCAAAGGAGCAACTGCACCATCATGCAGCTATTAATGCATTCATTTATATGTTTAAATCAAACCACCCTTAATTCTTATCTGGCGGTCTGACTTGTGCCTAATCAAATCCGCGTTCGCCTCTCTAAGCCAGGTGTGCAGAAAAAAAGGCCGTGCACCGCAACAGCTGGCGGGCCTCGTGTCGGGTCCAGCTGATTGTGTGTTTTGTACCTTGCCCTGGACTCAGCTGTGTGTACACTCCAGATGACAGAACACACACCAGTAAAACAAACATCCTAAAACATGTGTGGGCTCCTATTGGGACAAACCCAATGAGGCCGCGTGTCTGAATGAGAACCTCGGCACAAACCCTCAACACGTGTCCGCCTATCAGCCGGGTTTTATCTGAGGGTGAGACGCTCCGTCCTGGGAAAGCTCGATCTGTTACGCAACTCCCAAAACTGGGAAAAAAAATCCAAGACGGCTCTGATTTAGGGTTGATTGCCTTCATAATACTCCTGTGGTTGAAAATTAAAGCTCCCACTGGAATTCTAACGATGCGTGCGAGCCATTTTCACACTTAGCCGAGATACAATTATCCACTAAAGTCTCGAGCTTCCTGTCGGTCCTTTACAGTTTGCTTCCAAGTTTCAGGCCATTGTAATTTTCCAAACTATGTTCAGTAATGTCGTAAAGCCAGAGATGTCTTCAGCTGACAGGGAAAACCACGCAAACATTAACAAGAGGGTGCAACAACGTGACTTGTAGCTTGTTTTTTTAATACCAAAACTCTTGTTTTAATCCCCATGAAGCAGTGGCGTGTCCAGATCTTTTAGAACGGGGTGGCCCAGGTGAGGCACAACTTTGTGCATGGGTGGCACCAGCGGTTATGCTTTTTTTTTTTTGTTTTACCCCCAAGTCTTTTGTGGACAATGAAAAGCCTGTTTAAAGGTAAATTAGTGTGGTGGCACCTGGGGTGGCCAATCAGATTCCAAGGGTGGCAAGCGCTACCCCAGGCTGCTCCCTGGACACGCCCCTGCCATGAATCCAATAAACTTCATCTTGTGGTTTAATGGTGGCTGGTTTTGGTCTAAATGTGCAGCTGAACTTTCAAATTGACCCCTTAAAGCCTGAAATATACAATGATAATAACAATAAATGTAAAAACGGTAAATGGCCTGTATTTGATATAGCGCACTCTAGAGTCCTGGAACCCCCCAAAGTGCTTTACAACACAATCAGTCATTCACCCATTCACACGCTGGTGGGGATGAGCTATGATGTAGCCACAGCTGCCCTGGGGCGCACTGACAGAGGTGAGGCTGCTGAACACAGGCGCCGCCGGTCTCTCCGACCACCTCCAACAGGCAAGGGGGGTTAGGTGTCTGGCCCAAGGACACAATGACAGGGCGGGGCTCGAACCTGCAACTTTCCGATTACGGGGCGAGCACTTAACTCCTGTGCCACCGTCGCCCCAATAACGTGGTTTTTAAAACTGAACTATTTATTGTCTAATATAACATAGCCTAGAATCGAGACCCTCATTTGCCGAAGTAAAAAGTTTTTGCTTTGCATGACGGTCAAGCTACGCTCCATTGGAACCTCTGCAGCCCCGGACAACTTTGTGGCTGACCAATCACAGCGCATTTATTTAGAGAAAAAAAAAACGTCTTTGCATCTTTCTCCCTGCTTCTTCCGCGATGTATGGTGGACTGCTCCGCTGACGGACATCCGTAGCCGTCCAATCACAGCGCTCTATTAGTTTGATGGGCCAATCGCCGCACTCTCAGCCCCCACGAATGAGAGCCGTCAATGGATCATCAGCAGACTATATATTCACATACAGGGATTGCAGAATTATTAGGCAAGTTGTATTTTTGAGGAATAATTTTATTATTGAACAACAACCATGTTCTCAATGAACCCAAACAACTCATTAATATCAAAGCTGAATGTTTTTGGAAGTAGTTTTTAGTTTGTTTTAGTTTTAGCTATTTTAGGGGGATATCTGTGTGTGCAGGGGACTATTACTGTGCATAATTATTAGGCAACTTAACAAAAAACAAATATATACCCATTTCAATTATTTATTTTTACCAGTGAAACCAATATAACATCTCCACATTCACAAATATACATTTCTGACATTCAAAAACAAATCAGCGACCAGTATAGCCACCTTTCTTTGCAAGGACACTCAAAAGCGTGCCATCTGCTCACTGGGAAAGCCAGGAGTGCCTATGTACACATGGACATTGAGGAGGTGCGTGACTATGAGTCTGTTAAGGCCGCCTCATTGGCAGAGGTGTTTGTCGCAGCGAGGCACAAGGGACAACCCTGGAGTTACACCGCTTGGAAGACTTCCAAAGAGAGGGCTTATCGGGGATCCCCATATGGACGTGCAGCCTGGGAAACTAAGCAAGTCCCGTCAACAGCGAAGGCGGGAGAAGTTTCTGCATACTGCGAGGATGTCTAAGGAGGACCTGATAGAGAGAGCCCGGGGAGATGGGAGTGGTGAGCACAATGGCTGTGCGGAGTATGTTTTACAGGATGACATTTTGTATCTGTAACAAGGAGTACAGAGGCAGCTGGTGGTCCCACGAGAGGCACGAGAGATGGTGCTGGAGTTGGGTCATGCTATTCCTTGGGCTGGCCACCTGGGGAAGCAGAAGATATGGGCCTGTATTCAACGCCATTTCTACTGGCCTGGTCTGAGGTCCGATGTTGCCCAATTTCGTAACACAAATCTCTTAAAAGCTGAAGGTTCCGGATGTGCCGAGAGCTCCGGCGAGCATTTACAGTTTTGTGACTAATACCATTATCTCATCTATGAAGGTCTAATAATACGACTGCTGATTATCTTTCCCGCTGGAGCGGGGTAGCTTCTTAAGGAGGGGGGACTGTGACAGCTGCCCTGCCGTCACACTTCAAGTAAATGACTGTTAATGTTTCTTTTATTTTGAATAAAGGTGCTTGTTTCTATGGATTGACTGTTTGGGTGACCGTATGAAGTGCACACGTTCAGTTACTCATCGGTTTTAGTCTGTAGGGGTTTGTATGATTAATACGTTTTCTTTGAGTCGCCAGTGGCCTTGGAGTTGGCGCAGCTGTAGCACATCACTTGGCCTAATCAGCACCATTGGGTCAGACCAACTCTCAAGGGAGAAGATTCCTGTGTTTGTGTATTTAGTTATTCTCTTTTGTAAATAGTAGTCGGGTTTTGATAGTAATGTTTTCATTTGAAGTAACTCAAACAGAATGGACTGATTAGTATGAATTTGTTAGGGATAGCCTATTTATGTTCTTTGTTTACTGATGTCTCCCCACCCTAGTGTGTTGGCAGTGGTCTGATCAGCCACTATTTAAGTTGATCCTGTTGTGTCTGTA